TATATATATATATATATGCACTAAAGACATCAGAATATTGGCATGGCCCTGTCCCATGCCACAAGCATATGTGACTGTTCTTCAGGCTTCAATTTATCATTTCTCCATTTCTCTGTTCTGTAGTACCTATTTTTGCAAAACCTTATCTTTAGTATACAGGAAATAAGCACTGTTCTGTGGAGTGCTGAGCAGCGTGGTCTTGTGCAGCAGGAAAGCTTGTTAGTGATTCTAACACTGACAGCTTTTTCTTCTTGGATTTCAGATTCAAGGCCTCTTCCAGATGTCGCACTGACTGGCAAGTGTACCCGTGAATGTGATGAGTACGGCCACTCGGACTCCTGTTGGATGCCAGTCCGCACTTCCCCAGAGAGGAAGAAGAGCCAGCCCAAACTCTCCACTTTCATGCCTGTTGATGAACGAGGAAGCCAGGAAAAGCTGGCCAATGGAGAGGCTGCCATCATGGGTGATCGCAATAGAAACCTCCTCAACAAAAAGTTGACCTCATCCTATGAGACCTTCAGTGCAGCTAGTTTCAGCAAAAATGAGGAAGCCAACCCTGAGGATATTCCCTTGACAAAAACAGGGGAATACAAGCCATCTCCTGTCAATACTCTCACTAGAAGAGAAGTCTACCTGTAGGCTGTCAAAGAGCAACAGCAAAGCTCTTTTCATGTAAGAGAAGGAGAATAAGGGGTAAAAACCTTACAAAGCAAAATCATTTAATCACAAAGAGGGGGCTACCAAAGAGACAAAGCTTTGCCTGCCACTTCTGCCTCCAGATCAGGCCTTTAGTGATGCTGTTAGCCTGATTGCAATGTGCAATGTAGAATCCATTCTTGTTACTTGCATGTCTATACCCCTCACTGATCCCAACACCCACTCTCTTTTCCCTTCCCGCCTCAGCTTCTTGGGGACAGAGGGCTTCAGTGTCAAGTACGCCTTTGTCAAAGATGTTCATCCTGGAAATGTGCTGGCAGCAAAAATGACCCATCGGTGGGGGCAGTTAGCCTTACTGCTCAGGTGATTGATCATCCAGACCAAATCACAGCTGGCTTTGCCTCTGTACTGGATTGTCACATAACTTATGCAATGTGCAAGTTTGCTGAGCTGAAAGACAAGATCCCCCCCCCAAAAAAAAAAAAAAAAAAAAAAAAAAGATGGTTGCAAGTTTCTTTCTTGGTAATAAGCCTGATTAGCAGAACACAACACTCTCATTATCCCTAATCTGAAGCATGATTTTAGTCACTTTGATTTTGTTCAAGTGTCATCTGGTTGGTTAATAACAGCAGAACAGTTGAAATATATTCCAAATATACCATCAAAATACAGTTTATCACCATCAAAGGCAATGTTTTGAAAATGATAGAATCCCTCAAAAGGTACTATCCTTATATAAGGGACAATGTGAAAAGGCATTCGGGGAGGATGACAGCTTTAATCTTCTAACAAATACTAAGAGCAAGACAATACTCAGTGGGGATTGCAGTCCCAAGCTGCCATATGTTATTTTCAGGTCAAGAGGATCAACTTCAGTTCCACACATTAATAGAATATACTCACCCAAATTTGACTATGTTTATCAGTTATACCAATTATGACTTGTAAAATTATTTTTTTCAGAATAGAACAATTCATCAAGAAACGAGCAATTGTGTCATTATGAGGCCAAAGATCACATGGCGGATCAGGGAAATCATGAAGTAGATTTGGTCTTGACTTGGAAATTCACTAAACAACAGCAACTGTACATGTACATACACAAGAACATTCAAATGCTAGCTTATTTTATATTGACTCTATGCCCAGGAAAAAAGTCTTTGAAAATGGATTTTAGTTGAATGCTTAGAAAATGAAAGATGAATGAGACATGGGTTTGGTATTACAATAGGCAGCTGATGAAGGTTCAAGTTTGGTTTCATATGATAATATCAGGGAAGATTCTACATTTTAAACTCATATTAATGAAGAGTGAGCTAGAGAAAGACATAAAGGTTTATGATTTTATTAAGTCTGCTATTTCCATTTCAGAATCCCAAGTACTTTGCTAATCTTAATATTTTAAATTACAGTTGCATTTTTTACTTGGTCAGTGCACATGTCCACGCAACACAAGTGCATTAATTTCAAATCCTGTGCAATATAGAACCATTTTGAGACTCACAACTTTTAAACAAGTTAACACTCTAATCAACTTGTCACTAATATGATTTGAATATTATTTAATGCATATCTTAAATACCTGCAGTCTGAACATGAAAGAACAGGCTCTAGGCAGTAACTTTTCTGAAAGTTAGAAACATACTGATTTTTCAAGGGAAACAGAATATGCAGATTTTAAGCCACTTGCTCTATGCAAAATGATTCAAGAAAATTGAAATTTGAGCTGGGACATTCAGAAGAAAGTGACAATCCATGGACAGAATAGGGATGACAGGTAAAGAGAGCAAATGTTCTCATCACTGAATGTTTGTAACTTGGTTAAAGTATAGCCTTGATGGCTTTCTAGAAAACTGTAGACAAAATGTAGCTTTGGTTAGTTTCACCTTTTGCAGAATTTCTTAGAATATAAGGTGAAACAACCTAGAATATAGGTTGCTCATTTACTATACGTCATCAAAGTGCTTATCCTTGAAAAATTCTGTTTGGTGGGATCTTTGGGGATCATTTCCTTATGCTCTTTCTAAACGGGAGTTTTCATTTTGATGTTAGTTTATGTATAGGTAGAATGAAAAAAGATGTAATTGAAACAAAACATTGGACTAAAATACCAATAATTAAACATGCTCATGTTTGATTGTGATTTACACTGTGGAAGGATGCAATTCTAGAACTTTGTTAGGAAACTGCATTTAAGCAGTTCTGAGTTGTATGATGTGTAAGTACCTATTAAGACAAAATACTTCTAAAGTACTTATGAAATGTATACATATTTTTTCTTGCACGTTACAAAGGAAATAATTGCATAACACAGATGTTGAACACTTTTTTTTAAATGCATATTTTCTTTCTTTCATGAGACACTTGAAGCCACTAGACAGCCCATTTCACTCCCACTTGAAATCTTTTGGTTATCTATAGAGCTAAGACAGGTCATACTGGACCTACAGATTTATTGGTTCCACATTCCACAATGATGTTTGCACCATGTGCCAGGCAGTCATGTCATGGTCATCTAATGCGTGAACCTCTCTTAGAACTAAAATGGGTGTGAAGGAATAAAATTCAGTGTACTGTAAGTATTCACAGTAATTCTAGTAGAATTAGCTATCATAACATGTTTATTATATAATGAGCTGGCATGACACAGAAATATATTTTGTGTTTGTATGACTTTTATTTTGAATAGGTTAAATCTGGTGCCACTCCATGTATAGAGTGCTTTTCAGAAAAAAATAAATAAAATGAAACAAAAAAATAAAATGAGTGAATGCAAAATAAGCAACTGTGCCTTTTATACCTGTTGTTATGGTAAAAAAAAAAAAAAGAAAACAAAACAAAAAACGGTTGTTGGGTTTGGACAATGAGGGGAAATGGGCTATTCCCAACTTTTCTGATCCTGTATATTTATCCATGTTTATTTTCTGAAAATAAATAATATATTAAAAATTTGCCTTTTGAGAAACTCAGATAATGGACCAGTCTTAAATATTGTTCTTTCATAAGACATGATCCAGTCATTAATATGGGGCTGCTGAAATCCCACAGGAAGGTGACATCACTGGTTATAGAATAACACAGGGAAACATTATCAGGGGTGAAATCACTCCATTTTGCAAGGTAAAATATTGATTTAAGAGGTTTTTTTTTTCATTTTGTTAGCTGGTCTTTCATTTTTGGTTGTACAGTGTATGAAGTATACTTGTTTTCTGTACACAAGACTCTCAAGTGGACTTCTGCATGCATTATACATAGGACACATTTATAAACTGAGAAACTTAAAAATTTACGTGTATTAAAATGTCTGTAGCATCAGTCTAAAATCTACTGCTCTGTCTGAATCTCCAGATATCATTGTTGTATGGTTTTTGACTGGCCTGCTGTCTGAGCTTCAGAAAACAAGGGAGGCATTATTTTTTATGGGAGGAGGAACTACGATGGTCCTGAGGACATCTGCCTGAAAGGCAACCCTGGGAAGCTGGTTTATAGGAAAGTAAAAAATAAAATACAAAGGCCAGACAAAACTGCCAAGAATCAAACAGCCATCCTAAAAGAGTTTTAAGAAACCTGAAGACCTGTGTCATTTTAGAAGACAGGTTACGTCAGTGATAGATGTGTCCTTAAAATAATAGTGAAAGGAACAACACTGATCAAGAATAGAATAAGTTTGTCCGTTGTGATCCAAGTAAGGCATATGTACCATCCAGATACTGTATCATTTTTTCAGCTACCTAGGGTTTACTTTCAGACAACTTTTCCTACATTTTAAAGCACTTGCATTCAGTGTGGTACGATCTATTTGTAATGTTAATCATTGACTATTGTTCTGCTACTTGGATGTTGATAGTGAACAGAGAACAATTTATCATCGTTTATTAAGAGTCACTATGCACGCGACTTTGCTAAACATGGCGAAATGTATTAAACACTCGTCCAACTATTTATGAAATACTTTACATAATTTAATTTGCTTTTGTACAGTTTTATGTAAATAAATTGCTTGTCATTTTTGTCTTTACAAATTAAAATATAACATGGTCAAATGGTTTCTCACTTGTAAGTGTACTTCTCTGTTGACAGGTATTTCAGTTTTGACTGTAAAAAAAAGTGGATGGATGCCTGTATCAGTTCTATTTAAGATGCTTTTCTTGAGCTTGAAGTAAAAAAAGGAAGATAGAGTGGCCATAATTAACAATTTGTCTGTGGGGTGCATGATGCATAGCTCTCACATTAGTTTCCTAGATAATAGAATGGACTTGAATTCTTCAGTTTCACCAAAATATTCCAAGGACAGTTTTACAGCTAGTTTTACAATCTTAAAGCATACACAGAACATACTTTTAATACAAAAAACTGACTTTTCCAAAACAACACATTAAGATAAAATTAATTTAAGAATGTATCTCCATATAGCGTGTATTATTATTAGCATACTCATCATCCATTTTTTATACTTGTGATTCTGGGAGTCACACTCAGGATCCTGTACATTGTACTCTTCTATTGATGTAAACCCCAAGCCTACAAAACTTTTGATTTAAAAAAAAAATCTATATTAATAAAAATAAGAAAATTGTTAATAGATGTAGGTAAAAACTTGAAACCCCTAGTAGAATTTAACTGTTTTTTTCTTTAGTTGAGTATTCTCTTCCATTTGTGTTCGTTTTAATTATTTATTACCTATTTCTTGTTTCTATTTACCATTTGTTGTAAGATCATAATTTAAACTATAAAAGATACCCGCTATGCGGATGAAGATGGTGTTTTTCAAGCAACTGACTTCTCTAATCTCCAGACTATACTTTTCCTTCTTGCCCAGAGACTTGAAAGATTATTTTCTACGTATAATGATTTGTTGCATGAAAAATTTGTACCATCACACCACACTTCTACTAAATCCCTACCTAGGTGACTAGGCTGACAGTGTGAAGGTCTCTACCTTAGATTTCTGTTTTCCTCTGTATTGCTTGAGAACCAACATACATCTTTGTAAAAGATGGTGTATAATTTCTCCAGTTAAAGGGATCTTGGTTACATTGACATTTACAGGAAGACTTCCTCTAATAAAGGAAATGGGATGACGAATGATAAGAAACTATATTTCAAGTTGTTGGAATGGGGGAAGAAATGACATGTCGTTCCACTTGGCTTTCTGTGTAACTGTTAGAACCAAGTATCAGTACATAAGACACCTTACCAAAATCAAAAACACCATGTACTGTTCCTTTAAACACATGAGTTAATTT